TGCGTGTCGTACAATATATCACGGTTATTTCCCTTGACAGTGATGAAGCTGTCTCTCACAGACAAAAACTCGAGAGATTTAAATACTATGGAGTAATGCTCTCCGAAGGAATTTAATACATTTTATTGTCATAGCATAGAATTATTTGTTTGTTTCATTGTTTGTTTGTTTTTGGTTTTTAGTTTAAGTAAGAGTTTTACGGCGCTCGCAACTGCATAAGGTCATAATATGAGCGCCAGAAGATTAGAGGTGTTACAAGAGAGTAACAAACACAAAAAAAGGAGGAGAGATAAGAACGATAGATGTTTGATAGGAAAGAAGAAGCAAACTACAAAAAGAGCACCCGCCAACCACACACTTTGTTTTGTTTATTTGTTTGTTTGTTTGTTTGTTTATTTGTTTGTTTATTTGTTTGTTTGTTTGTTTGTTGGAGTTAAGAGAAGCACATCGATATACTAATGGTCATCTAGTGTTAGGAAACAGTAAGATACATAGACAGAAAGAAAGAGTTAAGGAAAAGTAAAGAAGTAGGACCTACCTGAGGCCCCCTCCTTATGATTTAACTATGCACAATATTATCATTATGATATTACTATAATTGGTTGCAGGTTTTGTTTTTATAGTACAGGGTTTTACGGCACTCGCAACTGCATACGGTCATATGAGCGCCAAGGGGTGGATGTCAACAGAAAAGTTCTTACAGGGAATCAGACATAGACTGCTCACCTCTCTAGCTTCAACAGCACAAAGTCTGCTTCAACTATCAAGGCACCCCGGAAATAGTAGGTCACAAGAGTGTGACAAGCATACAAAAGAAGTAGAGGATAATGACAATAGTAAGGATCAGGAAAGAAAAAGCAGCAGTTCCCTGTTGTAGATCAGGCACAGTTATGAACGTGACATGAATCAGCCCATTTATAATTCTACTATGCTTGAACGAGATATGTCCCCCCTTTGGGAATGGCCTAAAGACACTTCAGGGGGTGGGGAGGTAGCTTCACATTTGTTGTAGTTTTGTGCCCGGTATTTGTTTACAATGCAAACACAAAGACATACACACGTACACACAGACAGGCACATAACACATGTTTGTAAGTGGTATAATTATATCATATTACATATTTATAAATGTATAATATGGATAACAATTTTAAATCTGAGAGAGAGATAGAGATAGATAGAGATAGAGAAAGAGAGAGATAGAGAGAAAGAGAGAGATAAAGAGAGAGAAAAG